TGATCAGGGTCTCTTTCCAGATAAAGGATTCTAGACATTTGATCACATCTCCACTTGTGATCCATATGTCACACTCCATATCCCGGATACAAACCACCATATACCCCTAGACATCTATACTCCACCTCACCAAAAGACACACAACACACTGTTAATGCATCTCAAACTCACTATGGCAAATTAACACCTTTCGGTGACCACAAAGGTTACTCCAATCACCAAAGCTCCAAAAAATCCACAAAGAAAATGGCGAAGGTGGCACTCACAAAGAGAAATCGAAGAAAGAGTCGGTTACTTCACAACACTCACAAAGGAGGCTCACAAAGATAAAGAAAGTAACTTTAACATGGCTGCCTCACATAATCTCACAAACCACACAGGCTCACAAAGATAAAGGAGAGAAACGGCTACCCAACTTTTTTCTCACTACCACACTCTCACACCATTCACAGAGCAAATAGAGTACGCCACAAAACTTAACCCACTATGCATGAAAACATATTACACAAAGTAATAAATCACTCTAATTCATGCAATTACACACATCAAACATATTGAAAGTGTAAAATTAACATTGCAACAGAATTAAGTGACCACATACATGCAGAAAGGATTACACACAGATGCAATGCAGTAATCATATTTATTCTCTCAATAAACATCACTAGGATCACTACTCGACCCTAAAGTTACATTCGCCTTGTCTCTATTCTTATCTTTCCTTTTATTATCATCTTAGAACAATCTCTTTCAACTATGTCCAAATTTTATCACAGTTAAAATATATATTATTTTTCACACTTACCTTAGACTTACATTTGCCACCAATGTCAAATAATGACCACAAGTAAAGTATGAACATAATTCACATAGAATAGTCCAGTAAACTTTCCTAAGACCACATGCAATTCTAATAATGTAAAAAAATTGACAGCAAATTCACAAAGAATTTAAGGTAGATAATTAACAAATAATTTCTAGGTCTAGCAACAGGCAATGGTTACCCCTTCATGGTAACCCCAAACCTAATGTCACCCCACACGATGACCTCTAATGTAAAAAATAAATTATTCTACACATTTATTTCAACTGCAATAATAAAAGCAAAGAACACGATACCGAGCGGACCACGTCTGAAGGTCCGTAAATATCGAGAGACGTGAATTCATCACTTTAGGACTATCACTATTCGTCCTAAAGTCTCTGAAAACTGCAGCAACCAAAAAATCACGATCGAATCCCGAATGCCGGAAGAATAACGCTGTCCAGATTTTACTGTGTACCCTGAAACAGAAAACTTCCAATACGAAAAATGTCAGAAATAATACGAGGAACAAACTGCCTGAAGGGACCTTCTCGAAAATCCCTTCCACGGGCCCTCACGCGCTCCTTTTCCTATCTGCGCGTGGTCCTCACGCTCCATCACACGCGCCGGCCTGCAGGGTTCGCCTCCTCCTGTACATCATGCCAGTGGTCTCTGTTTTCCCAAACCCCTTCTGGATTGATCAGAAAACGTGAAAAATGGAGACTGATTTAAACAATTTTTGGACAGCTTCTTCGATCTGATTTCTGTTGCGTTTCTACCTATTTTCTGGACGATTTCTGGTAGATTTCACGAGCCAAACTTCACCTTGAAGCTCTGATACCAATTGTTACGGAAGCTCTCTCAAAAGGATCTTCAAACGGTAGTTTTCAGGCTCAGTTCAACGTACCTTTCTCTACCAACAACCAATCCAAACGGCTCCAAACCACAACCAATTGATTCACCTTGGTTGCTATTCAGTTTTACTCACGTAGGACAAGAAAGGATGATGATTTATCGCCACAAAGGTTAAGAGAAGACACCATAAATGTATACTATGAAAGAACCACCAATTGCACACGTTATACCAGCATTTTGGACACTTCTGGACACTTTTTTTCTCACACAAAGGGGGCAGCCGGGATTCTTTTGTTTCTTCTCTCAAAATCACACAATCATCATATCAAAGAGGCTAGGGTTATATCCATATATATACTCTAGGGTTAGGCTTTAAGTTGGACCATTAAAGGGGTAAACGGGCCAAGATTCAAGCCATCCATAAGGAATACAATTGGGCCGGGTGTAGCTCATGGACTTGATTGTTGGACTTATTTCATTTATCAGCCTATGCCTATGAAATAATATTAACCCACGTTAACATCATAACCCAAGATTTATTGGGTATCAAAAACCCAACACCTTGCTTTTTCAAGCATCAAAGTTTGCATTTTCTTGTTCTCAAATGTCCCAATCTTGATCACAATGGAAGGGAATTATCATCCACAATTAAAGTGTCTTAGTTTCTAAGTTTTCGTGTCAAAATAGTGATTTTAGGGCCTACCATATTTTCATGCTATCTTCTCTCTCTTCATTTCAAGATGGGAATCATTTCAAGATTAGGAAAGTGGATGGGAGTTGAGGAAAGTTATGGATTTAATTTCTATTTGAACCACTCTTTCCTTTTACTTTAATAACTTGTAGATCATATCACTGGGTGATCCGCAGAATACATTACTAGTGATTAATTCTTTTGGATTGTACAATTTGAATCTCTAACTTTGAATCAATA